TCTTTCCAAAGTGAGCCGCGGAAGTCTCCAGAACGAGCGTTTTGTGCGAGACTTCCTTCAAAAGTGAGCTGCGGAAGTCTCCAGAACGAGCGTTTTGTACCACGCATTATCATATGACACGCACGATCCTCGCAGAGGGTCGATCCAGGTCAAACGCGTCAAACGCGATCGACGTTTCACTAGACGTTTCAACACTTGGCACGCGCGATCCTCGTAGAGGGTCATGTTACGTGAGCTCCGGCCGGACCTGCCCGCCGCCGTAAGAGTATAGAAGACACTTATAAAGAAGTGGTTGTCGTAGGTGAGATTAAGTGGGTGTTTTTGGTAGGTGTTTCAACACCTACATATCTACAACTGTATCTCTACACCTGCAAAACCCACAGCTATTAGGGTGTCTTAGGGTCGGATAAGCCTGCACTTCTTTAGGGTCTCTTTTGGTTTTGCTTCGGGCTTCGGCTTTACGGTTTCTTTGGTCTTAGCTTCGGGCTTCACTTCTTCAGGATGTCTTTGGGTTTGACTCAGGGCTTCACTTCTTGAGGATCGGTTTTGTTTTGCTTAGGGTTTCGCTCCTTTAGGTTTTCTTTTGCTTCTTTAGGATGTTTCTGTGCTGGAATTAGGCCTTCACGTGAGGGCTCCTTTAGGATGTCTTGGGTTTCACTTAGGGCTTCGCTTCTTTAGGGTTGCTGGCTGGTTTGCCATAGGACTTTGCTGTTTTAGGATGTCTTTGGTTGTGACTTAGAGCTTTACTTCTTGAGGGTCTCTTTTGGCCTGCCTTATCGCTTCACTTCTTTAGGATGTCTTTGGCACAAATTCAACAGCATCTCTTGCTCAACATTTTGTGTTTTGTGCACATGGTCGTGGTAATTACGTGCTTTGGCGAAGCTGGGTTTGGTTTTGCTCAGGGCTTTGCTCTTTTAGGGTTTCGTTTGGTTTGCCTTAGGGGCTTGCTTCTTTAAGATTTTTTGGGGTTGGCATTAGGGCTTCAGTGGAGAGGGGCTTAGGGCTTCACTTCTTTAGTCTTTTTTCTTTTGCTTCAGGCTTCACTCCTTTAGGGTTTCATGTGGTTGGGCTTCCGGCTTTGCGTCTCTAGGATGTCTTTGGGTCGAATAAGCCTTTACTTCTTTGTGGTCTCTTTTGGTTTTGCTTCGGACCTCGCTCCTTTAGGGTTTCTTTGGTCTTAGCTTAGGGCTTCACTTCTTGAGGATGTCTTTGGATTTGACTCAGGGCTTCACTTCTTGAGGATCTGTATTTTTTTGCTTAGGGTTTCGATCCTTTAGGTTTTCTTTTGCTTCTTTAGGATGTCTTTGGGTTGGACTTAGGCCTTCACGTGAGGGCTCCTTTGGGATGTCTTGGGTTTCACTTAGGGCTTCACTTCTTCAGGGGGGTTGGTTTGCCTTAGGGCTTTGCTCTTTAGGATGTCTTTCGGTTTCACTGAGGGCTTCAGTTCTTTAGGATGTCTGTGGGTTAGACTTAGGCCTTCACCACCACCCCCTCAAAACAAGAACGCTTCTCAGAAACCAGTCCCCAGAAACCACTTCCCAGAAACCAGTCACCAGAAACCAGTCTCCAGAAACCACTTCCCAGAAACCACTTCCCAGAAACCAGCCCCCCAGAAACCACTTCCCGGAAGCCACTTCCCAGAAACCACTTCCCAGAAACCACTTCCCAGAAACCACTTCCCAGAAACCACTTGCCAGAAACCACTTCCCAGAAACCACTTCCCAGAAACCACTTCCTAGCCTCGGGAGACCATTTCACCCGCGTTCCGAAACAAGACGAATCCAGGTTCTGAAACGAGACGAATCCAGGTTCCGAAACGAGGCGTCGGCCGGAAACGAAGGCTTGTTTAGTAGGGACATCCATTGCCAAACCTTCACATCCATCCATCTTGGGAAGGCACTGGTGGGTTTTCCGCTGATCTGTTTCCATGCATAATCGACTCCAAACTCCGCGCATCATTGGAACCAACAATTCTGAGCCATCAGGAGTCGGGACCGCACCACGAGCGCTGCTGCTGAAAACGCTTGCCACACGGACGCCCGAGGCGAGAGCAAACACGGACCGAGACCTGAGGGACTCTACCCATACAGAGGTAGCCAGTGACCTGAACTAGGACCCGTCACCAGGGGTACCGAGCTAGGATAGCGTTCTTCAAGACTCTGCTGGATCTCCAAATAGTTTCAGATCCAAAAACACGACCTATAGCCATCTATAGCCATCTGATGCGTGCGCACGATGAATCCCAAGTCGGATCTTCAGCATCTTCACCTCTGGCAAAAAGGATTCATGGAGAAAACAACTTGCTCATTGAATACCCTGGTCAATTAATGAATTAGTGCGGAGTACATAAAAAAAGAACCTCTTTGCCACATGGATTGCCTCTCCCAGTTGCATGATGTGTTTGTTAGACCGGACACTGTGAACTGCATAGCATCAAAAGACCAATTGAACACTGTGCTTCCAGGGTTGACTCCAGTGCTTCGTGGGTCCCCCTTTGGGTCCCCAAAGACGCAGCAGAGGCGCGCCACCAAAGATCCATTGCTTTCTTCCCAAACATCCGCAACATCACCGACTCAGCCCACATCACTTAGCTCGGACTTCGGCGGAGTGGGTGGACACCCGGGCCTGCTCCCGAAAAACCACAGCGCGCAGTGCTCACACGGCCACCGCAATGCACGACGCCCCGCGCAATGCACAACGCATTCAAAAGCGCGCGGCTTCGCCCGGCTTTTCACGCTAAAGAGCGCAAGGTGTCAATGAAAGCCTTGAGCTCTTCGTCCGACATCTGGTTCCTGCGGCACTGGTTGGTCGGCTGCAATGGGTGCCGGCGACGTGAAGACGTCGGAGAAAAGAGCGTCGGAGTCCCGCAAGTTGTTCGCTTGACCCAGCAAACTCTGCATCTATCATAGTGGTGCTGCCACATACAGCAGCGAACGTGGATCTCAGGGTTTGAAGTTGCTGACGTACGAGCCGCTTTGTTCATTGGTCTTGCTATGGTCATCCCTCATCCGGTGCCCAGTGCAACGAAAATTCACACACGACACTCACCCATCTCCCCATTGCCTCCACTCCACTCAGCCACAATGTACCCGTGTTCGCTGCTGAGACCGGTTTTCACGGCAAAAGACAACCGCAGGTGTTGCCATAACGATGTCACCATTCGCGCACCACGTCGATCCGCCCGCGCACGGCGACGAACGACGCGTCGCACCCGGAGAGGCGCAAGCGAGAGAAGGGCCGCTTGGCCCAGGCTTGGCCAAGGCCTCGAGCTGCCGGAGGTCCATTAAACAAGTCGTTAGAGCCTCAATTCAAAAAAACAGAATTAAAGAAAGAAAAACACATAGACACATAGCGATGGCCTCCAACCCACTAGCGATGGCCTCCAACCTACGACCCGCGATGGCCTCCAACCTACGACCCGCGATGTGATTTGGAACGTCTCCTTGTTGGCCAAGACCAGAAATCATTGGGCCCGTCCGGACCCAAGTGTCGGGTTCATTTGAGAAGCTTCTTTGGTTTGAGTGAGTGGGTGAGTGAGTGAGTGAAAACCACCTGTTTGGTCTTCGGCTTGAAAATGGTCATCCAATCTTCCGGGGCTCTTTGCCCATCGTCACTGCGCATGGACCGGTTCTAGGATGCTGTTTCAGCAAAGCCTCTCCACTTCCCGAATCCGACCAAACCGGATCGGGATTGTACCCAGACGCTCCGTTCACAGCTCGACTGGTCCCTCACCAAACCCGGGGATTGGTGAGAAGCTCCGGAACACTCACACCCAGTTCAGAGTCGGGTCCGGCCCCTACTGAAGGGAGGGTCCAGGGTCGCGTCGGGGCGGCCGATCCGTGCGCTGGCGGGTCGCAGTTCGATCGGAAGGGTCGGTGTTGGTGGTGTCACATGAAATGAAAATCAGGATAGGTTGAGGTCCCACATGTTGGATTATGTTGGATTTGGATGGATTTGGTCATATGTGTGGCCAGCCTCTTTGGCCCAACAACTTTGCACCACAAGTTTAACATGGAGTTGTTTAAAGCATGTTAAAGCTACCACCGAGACTTCGCATAGGAAGACGAGGGCACCAAGCCCCATTCAAACAACCAAAGAGAATGTAAAAGAGACTGACCATTCCATCTCTGACCATTCCGAAACCAACTGCCTGCCGAGGTACATGATAAATCCTCTGACTTCAAGCCATTCCGCTCAAGGCCCAGCACGTCCAAGCGACACTTGGGCAAATGCTCCGAGAGCACCTGAGACGAGCTTCCGCGTTCGGAGCCCAAGCTGTATCAGCCGTAATAAACCGCACCATGAAGCAAAGACCCGTTGGCGGGTCTAAGTCTAAGTTCTCTTGGACTCAATCCAAGGAATTAGGATACCCACGAAAGCAGCTTTGCTAAGCCAAGGATATACAGCAAAACCATGTCAAAGCCAAAAACACCAGCAGAAGTGGAATATCTGAAACAACTTGTGGATGCGTGAAACAACACATCTGTCAACCTGATCCGTTTTTTCTCCACAAAATGCACACTCTCGCTGACTCGTATACGTATATAATATATGCTGACATATGCTGACTAAAAAAGGCAACACGATTCCAAACGGATCCCAAAAGTTGTGTCTTTGGAGCAACTTCCCAGAAGGTAAGAGCTTCATTCCAAACGGATCCCCAAAACATCCAAACGGCCCATCCCTCTCTCCAGTCGTCTGACCTTTTGGGGCTAAAACACCACTGCTCGACCTGCCATTCACCCGGTCGCACTCCGGACGGTCGGAGCTTCCCCACAAAAACTGGTAGACTGCCCCAGGTCGACGAGACGGTCAACCGCTGCCAGTCACAGACCGGTCGACATCTTCTTCCTCCCATCATCCAGACACGACCTGTCTGGGACTGCCATAGATGCCGATCAATTGACCCCTCCTGGCACCACCACCCCTGGCCGTGAAATGAAGGCAGTCCGACATGGCAGTCCCATGAACCGTCGTGTCGGGGTCATGAAGTCGAGTACAACATAGCAAGACCCCCAGGGCCCAGCCTCGTCACCACCAAGTCAGTCCGACTTGCTCGTGAAAAGTGAGGAAAAGACCGTATCCTCGAGCTGCCACAGCTGTAACCCCAAGACGACCTTTCAAAAAGGGAGGGGAACCCCAAAACTCGTGTGGTTCAAATGGGACAGTCTGCGTCTTAATTCTCAACACAGTGGTCGTCTGAGCACTTGGGGGCTCATCTGTCTCAGCTGTGCAGATCGAGCCCCCAAGTGCTCCAACCACGTCCCCCTGCTTCCTCCACGCCCCGAATTCGCCTTAAGCCCTGCAGCAGCTAGATCGTTGCCGGCCAACTGCAAGGACCTTCCGTCTTCTTTGTTCGGTGGGGTGAGGGCATGATTCAGAATAGGTGGCAGAGTTGCTTAGTCTTTCAAATCTTTCAGCATTTCCATTCTGCACAGGCATCCAAGCTATTCTTTGACCCACCCCGCTACCCCGCTGGCTTCTGACCTCCCGCGCGTGCGATTTACGCGGAGCACCTGAGGCTGGTGAAAGGTAACTCCTGGGCCACCGCCTCAACGTCTTCGAATTCCAAGCCGCAGTGAGCTAAGCAGAGCTCCTGCGAAGCGCTGTGCCGGTGGCGATTGCAGGCCGTTCCGATGTGCCGCGATCGGGGGCGCGCCAAGCGAAGAGGAGAGGAAGATGGTTGGAGATCACAGGAAGATCTTCGGATCAAGCGAACTTCTGAAGGTGTTCATGCTACACCAACCCGTAATTCTGGCTACACCAACCCCTAGACTTCCAAGACTCTTTTGAAAAATGGTTGAACTGTTTTTTGTAAAATCCTCAGTTGGTTCGGGATGACCCGCCTATTATGGTTAATAGTGGTTGGAAGTCTAGAGGGAACAGAACCACAGGACTCGCACGGATGTTCCACGCGGTCACGTGCCCGGCCAACCGGACGTTCGACGTCGACGTTTTCGACGGGGGGCACAGATCTAAGAGACTCATCTCCGGTATCTCCGGTCTTCCATCTCTTTCATCCAGCTAGCCGTCCCGAGTTAGCAGAGCAAGTTAGCTCGCACTGAGTATGCTCTGCACATCTCTCCCCTTCCTTGTGCCCCCTATAGACACCCGAAAGCTCACCAAAACCGCGTCTATATAGACAAGTCCGGTCGACTCAGCCGGGTTCGACTCAGTCGACTTAGCCGGGTTCACCTCGAAGGGTCTCCCGCCTCAAGCACCGGAGCTCCCATAACCTGGGCTCGCCATGGGCTCGCCGAGCTACAGAAAGAGCTAGAGAGTGGTACCAAACATAAAATCTGGTTTTCAGGCTACTGCCTTTTTGTTTTTCAGGAAGCTAGGATTTTTAGGGAAGTCAAACATGTAGACCTTCAGAAGCGATTGGAAGCTTGCTGGCGAGTTCAGTTGAACCCTCATGATTGGCGTGCTTTGCCATCATCCAAGTATGATTGTAGTCCAAGTAGAAGACCCTGCCGTGCCTTTTCTTCAAGAACCGTGCCGTTCTTGGTACGGTATCTTGGTATCTCTCGCTCAGTCTGAGTCTAGTAGCTCACCTTGCCCCCCCCGAATCTTTGCTGTTTCCAGTCGCCAAAGCTCCCATCTTTCTGCACCCTCCACCCCTGGCCCCACACACCCACCCGTTTCGCCGCACCACCGGGCCGTCGTCGACGGTCACGGACGGTCCGCCCCCGCCTCGGCGAGGAGCTCGCCACCGCCGGCCAAGGAGTTCCCTGAGAAATCCAGCGTTTGCATCTTCAACCTGCCAAAACAAGAAGCTATTAGAAACAAGTGCCACGCTAGTAGTAACAGGTGCCTTACTA